TCGATGTTAATTTAGAGACACAGTGTGTGCGTGTGTCTATGTGTGTGTGTGATTGTGGGAATTGGTGGCGTAGCGAGTAGCAGGCTGCGCGATGAACCCGGCGACCTGGGTTCGATTCCCACTCAAGGTCGATACCAGTGGCGATTATCTGGATCGGTCCTGGACCTCCCCTAGGTCCACTCAGCCTCAAATGAGCACCTGGTGCAGTGTGTGAACATCGCCACTAAAGAGACAAATGTGGGCGGGAGTGGTGCTGGCCACCGTCCATCTCGCAGTGCTGTGCCGGCCTTCATAGGTGCTCGCTAACAGCACTTGGAGCACTTGCCCAAAAGCATCCACCATTGTTTCCATTCGGCCTTGTTCGTGGTTCTTCATTAAGGAGCCATGTTCTGTCCGATTTTTTTGTTCGTGTGAAAATTGCCACCACGCACGAACGGCACGTCCAATTGGGAGCAAGTGGAGAGACCTGTTATGGGTGCCCACACTTATTTTTAATAACTGCCGAGACTCTACTTAAATACGCGCTCTGCTCGAGAAAATGTACTCTTTCCTTTCACAATGAGCAGCGGCGCGATTAGTGCTGTCGTCGGTGTACTCAAAGACAATGCAGTGTGGATTAATGAAGCATCTCAATGACATTGCATGTCACGATGCCCTACAAATATGGAGACATGCGCAGAGGGAACTTCACAGAGAGGAAAAATTATTTCATTATTATAATTATGTTTTTTAAAGATATTGTTTCGGATATTTTGATGAATATTGTTTAGATAAAACTATATTAACTACTTATTTTCCCAAGTTGTTTACTCCAACCCAGCATGACGCCAACGCCACTTTACCACTTTTGAACTTTCCCATGAATGATACAAAATAAATACTGAAATAACAAAAACACGAATGAGAAAGGAAAAAGCCTCTTTTCCTTTTCTAATCAGCATGTTAAGAGCATTGGCTAAAATCCCATCACACCAGCCTCGCACCATTGATCGTTCTTGCAACCCACCCTGGTGAATGTTCCGTGTTTAACAATTTCTCAGGATGCATGCCAAGATCTGATGCGCGATTTAATTAATAATGGTAAAAAAGTTGACCAGGCCGACTGTGGCATAGCCAGGCACTGAGCTATTTAAAAAGACTGTGCAAGGGTATAGCATGTATTTCTGTGCATCTGTTTGAAGATTCCATCCTTAAAAAATTAGCGAAAAGTGACAAATGCGGTTCCACCAGTGGGGCAAGCACTGCATTTTCTTTAGGTAGAATTCGAAAATGTGGCATTCCGATCACATGTATGTGAAAACATTTCATAACAACCAAGATGACAATCATAACATCATGGAGAGATTAACACGGCCTGATCGATTTTAGACCTCTGAGGAACACAAACTGTATGAAAATGAATAGACGTTGTCAATCAGCTCTCAAGGCTACAATAAAACAATCTGTTCCATCTAGCATGACACTAACAAGGCCATCTGCATAATAAGTCTTCCCCGTTTGGAATACAGTACTTGGTTCACACGAAAAGTTGACTTTTTCTATTTCAGGAACCAATTTTTTGTCAAATTAAAATGTCACAATGAATACTAACAGAAACCAATTTTTTTTCAAATTAAAATGTCACAATGAATACTAACAGAGCTATGAAGTCACGGAGGCCAGAAGAGCGTAGCTGGGAGCAGAAGGTTCGCCCCACCTGCTGCTGCTGTAATGGCAGCACCGTTACTGGTCGCTGTCCGTTAGCCGGTGGTGCTGAAAGTGCAAATCCCGTTAGGCCTGAAGAGGCCTAACTTGAGTAGCTCTGATTTCTGTTTGTGGCTAATAACTGAATTTTGCACAAATGAGTGAATTATCAAATAATTATCAATCAATTCACTCTCAGTCATATCAAAAAATAGTTGCTGTAGTTTTGCCACCTTCGATGGGACCAATGTCTGCTCTGGCTCATGGACTACATGGCGAGTCTTGCAAGTTTGAATATAAACGATTCACTCACGCTGAGAACCAATTAATTTAAACTATTCAAGGTCACTATGATGCCATTCAACAATCTATTGTTTTTTACTCTCTCGTTTGTAGTGTTTCTTGCTCTACAGTTCTATTTGATCATGAGCTGAATCGTAACTTGAGCATTTAAATGTAATTTTCATTAATCTCAAATAATCTATTCTCACACACTATTTGGAAGTATATCGGTATTGTGATCATAGATTTTTAAATTGATTATTCGATGCCTCGTTACACGCCAACCTACTTGATATGTAACTAGATATCTCACTATTATATTAACTGTAAACATTGTGGGTGACTTAGATGTCAAGATTAGTTTGTTTTATTTTGTTGTCTCGTCCCTATTGCTTGTAAAGCCAACCTGGCCTTCTCTTGTCGTCTCGTTTATACTTTTTAGTTTTGACGGATTCCTTATTTGAGCTCGAAGGAGAAACTTGAATTTCGCATGCATCCAAAATGATACATTTTCACACACTCGCAATTATACTCGTACTGTGAGCGTAAGACACTCAATGCTAAATACGAACACGCCTAAATCTCACCATCGCTGGAGCACTACCACCATGTATATGCCACTATTCATACGACTGCGTAAAAACTATTTACATCAGGAAATGTTTTTTTATTGTGATTCTTACCAGGGCCCGTGGAGTAAAGTTCAGTCTCCAGCTAAGATCTGCGATCTCTCCAGCATCTCTAATTATTGACTTTATAGTCCTCACCTGTTATGAACGTTTCCTTTTAGGCCACAGTGGTATCGATGAATGTGTTGAGGTTTTTTGTTTGTTATTCTTCCATCTTGATTTGAACTCACCTGATGACGGACGCTTGTGTTGCGACCGAAACGTCGTGCTCTTTTATTACTTTTTATTCTATCTACGTGACTTTACCGAAAGAACCAGAGAGTATTTGTTATTCTTGTTGTGCTTATGCACCACTGCCAACGCAGCAGGAGCAGCGACATCGCCACATCATGCACTACCATTCCACACAGTGCAGTGGCGTGCCTATCGAGTGTGCAGGCAGTGCAACTGCACCGGGGCCGAGGCGCCGGGCTACGAAGAGGATGGTGGGGGGGGGGAAGATAGTACAGGGGGACGACCCCATTTTCATTCCCTGCACCAGGGCCCATGGCCCCATATTGGCAACCACGCGACGCCGCTTATACAGTGCAATTAACAACTTGAGACACATCAGAGCAACGCGTGCTCGCGCCAACGACCACCGTGAACGCAACGCCTGGCTCAATCGGCACGGCCGCCTCTGCACTTAGCCGCACTAATTGCTGATTACGCCAAGTTGGTAATGCAATATGCAGGGTGGTAGTCTTGGAGACGGCAAACACGCACGGGCGGCGTGTGGGGTGGCCGAGAGAGGAAGGGCTACATTGCAACCGCCCCCTCTCGCGGAGTCGCCAAATAAATCAACCCACACGCGTTACCCTGTGTCAACAGAGCAGCAGGAGCAGCAGCCGGGCGCGTTGTTGTCGCGATAAGTGCCCGTGTGAACGATCTGTCCCCCGGTCGAGTCCATGCGCTTTGAGGCTGTTGCGGTGGCCGACTGAACTTGTAAGTGTAAGACCATCGGTGACTGAGTGCCACCTGCAAACTCGAGTAATGTCATGGAGGGCTGGTACAGAGAGAGGCGTCGAGTCTATGGCTGCTGTCAAACACAAACATTGAAAAACATTGTTCGAATTTGGGTTGCCAAAATTATTTTGTGGAGGCTGATTGAGTTCACAAATAGGGCAGGTGCAGTGCGAAGTTAAACATTACTGGAAGCCCCTTGACTAAATTCGCCTCCAGTGCAGTGTGATGGTGAAGCCAACATTCAGGGAGGCATAGCCCACTACCTGGTTAAACCAAGTAATAAACACACAGCAAGAGTGGATACTAATTTGCAAGCACTAGAGAGAGCCCACTGGGGCACATTTTCAACCATAACCAAGACCATGAACACATCCGACCAGATGTCACCGTGGCTGGCCCTATCGTCTTTCCGGAGCTGATAACAATGAGTTGCTATAACATTGTGGCAAATGAACGGATGTCGTTTCGATGGTGAACATGGCCCGGCCATGGAAATGTGGAATTGCCACTGTTGCGATAGTAACGCCAAGTGAGAAACGAGGGGATAGTTTGACTTTGACAGAGCAAAGTGTACAGGCCGACTTTCGTCTTAGATTTTTAAAATACCGGGTTTAATAACGGGCTCACTTAACACTGCTGCTTATATATCGTTCGGTTTGTCTACAATACATGTTCAAATATAAACCTTTCAAATGACAATGCGATGGCCTTCACGTTAATCTCGGGAGAGACGTACACGGTGCTGATGACTGGGCCAAGCACAAACCGAGCACTGTTGTTTTACTGCTGCCCTTAATGGTTAATGCCAATTAGCATAATTAGTTCGCTCGCCGCAATGCTGCTCGTGCGTGTGCATGTCTTGGGCGAGAGCACATCTGGCCTTCCCGTGTGGTTTTTGTAAATTAGGGCCCCGCCTCTCAAACTCACACTGCACACGTGTAATAATCGTCCTCTCGATTAAATATCGGTGGGTTTGTTTTAATGAGCTTTGATAGCCACCTCCTCACTGCGGAGTTGCCAAACACGCACACGGCTGATTTAACCCCGCTGAGATACCACGCACAAAAACCTGATAAAACACACACACACACCGTGCGCTACGCAAACAGCTGATGCAAAGAACGCACAGCTGATGAAACACAACGCTCCGTACACACACACACACAGCCGCTATAACTAATGCATGTACAGTCAATACAAACGGCTCACTAATACGCGCGGCACACAGACCCGATCAACCCAATTCTGTAGCAGCAGATGCTCCTGTCATGGCAGAGACCGCCAACGCTTTGACTCGACTTGCGGTGCTGATGAGTCGAGGTTAGGGTGAGGAGGCATTGGGTGAGGAGCGATTATCCCCCCATTATATATTTAAAAAACACCACAGCCAGCATCACTGACCGTGTCCAGAGTCAGAACCCAGCAGTCGTGCTTGCTGGCCGCGTGGAGACATCAGCAGCAGCAGCAGCATGTAGGGCAGGAAGAGCCGTGTGTTCCTGCCTGTCCCCATCCCGGCACCAGCAGCAGCAGCGCGCTCACGGCCCGAGCCGCTTGCACATGACGGTCGCTCCGGCCCCCACGCCTCTCCCCGAAGCGTCAGGGACACACGATGGTAATGATGGTGATGTTTTTGATACTAATGTCGATGATGCCTAATTCTTATCAATAGAACGATACAAGGCGTGGAGAGCGAGCGGCGCGGGCGGCGGGACGGCGATCGCTGTGGCTCTCCCTCGGCGAGGGGGAGAGGGGGGAGCCGGGTGGAGGTGGAGGAGGTGCGGGGGGGATGAGTGCTGCGGTGGAGAGGAACGGCGAAAGAAGGAATCGCTCGTGAGCAGTGACGTCACCGTTCATTGACAATGTTCGCTCGGCTCGCTCACGGTGCCCGCTCGCGAGCATCATCGTCACGCGAATCGCTTAAGGTCGCGGCTTAAATTATTCGCCTTTGAGCAGCGAACAGATGCCGACATAATAACCACCAGCGTATCACGACACACACATATATATGCCAAATGTACAGACGGGCACTGCATTGTCTCCGCGAGCGCCACACGCGCCGTGTGGAGGCGACCACGCGGAGTCACAAACACCGCCGCTTTGAGGGATGTTGTAGCCTTCATTACTCATTACCAACACTTATTCACGTATTTGTGCTACACACTGTTACATAACGAAGACGGTTCACTTAGCACGTAGGTTTTGCAGTGAATGACTCGGTTGATTGTTGGGTCACACTACTTGATGATCTGAGCAAATCTATGCGATTGAGTGAATGTTGAACTTATTTCGCACCGTATGTATCTCACCGTGCTAATCGGAGGTGCGGGGTAAGGAGCCCTCCACCAGCCGATCCAGCGAAACAATTTTCACGTGAGCACAACGCGCCAATTGTTATCGTTTCAGCTCACCTGTAAAGTGAAGAACAATCCTCACAACGAAATGTAACACTCAGTGGCGTAGTAACGACATCACCTCAGGGGGTACGGCATTCGGTCAGGTGGAGCCCCAATATTTGATTCGTCTCGCACGGTCGCACCTCGGGCCATCGGTCGCGGCTCATCTTCCCTAACCGCACTATTACGCTCACGGTCTCCAACATTTAGCGCTGTAGGGGCGCTCCGTTTTAAATAAGCTTTTGTTCTTTTACACTGTTAAAAAGTATCTCATCCACAATACAAGTTTTTATTTTGGATTAGATCGCGTAAATATTGTGTCGTTAAACCTGCCACCACCCGACACAGCCAACTAGTAAGGGTTGTCACGTAAACAGAACGTGGCCAATTCGTCACTAGTACAGCACTAGTGTGTAGTGTAGTATACTAGTACAGCACTAACCGGTGTGTTGGAGAGCCACGCCACAACATTTACAAACTGAGTACGACGTTTTGCCAGTAATTAACTAGCTTACAACTAAATGGCTCTCCAACACACTGGTGTGCTGTACTAGTGACGAATTGGCATGTTCTGTTTACGTGACAACCCTTACTAGTTGGCTGTGTCGGGTGGTGGTGGGTTTAACGACAGTTATACATTTATATACGCGATCTAACAAAAAAAACCTTTATTATGGATACTGGTCGCGAAAGCCTACGTGTTAAACTAATCTCATGATTGTCAAGGAAGCCCCGACTCGTAGCTTTGGCCACCAGGGGGGGGGGGGGGGGGGGGGCAATTATAGTTAACTTTCCGTTTGAAATTGCATCAAACATCAGAACAAGAACCACAAAGGCAGAGTAATAATACAGGAATCAGAATCCATTCCGACTTCCTGTATCGTTGTACTCATGCTCGATGTAGCTTCAAACTAAACGTATATAATTGATACATTTGTATTTTTCAACTAATTGGTAAGCTCATACAATAGTAAATTGGCGAGTTAAACGCATGTACACGTTACACAATGTGTTTGGCTGTGTCGAGCTCCCAATGTCAGATTTGGAGAGATCTTGACATGGCCTAACCCAAAAATCAATCATGGAGACGACACAAGCAAAATACCACAAATTACACCAAAACCCAGAGCACACGTGTGGTTTGTCTCATTTTAATTGTTTCAACCATGACCACATTTCATTCCCTTCTCCCAGTGACAGCCTCAAATGGCTGCACTGCCCCATCACCCTCTCATGGGCATCCCTCATTCTCAAGTTGTAGGGGTTATTTGACCACACGTCACCACGTTGATAAATATTTACAAGTGAAGTCATGGAGCATAGGCGTAGAGTATAACAATGGATGTTGTTGCACTGCCCACAATGCAACTCTGCAGTCTATAACGGCCGTTATTCACAGCGGATACCCATCAAAACATATCCGCGCTCATAACCAGCTCTCGTTTCTGAAATCTAACGAGATCGGCTGCGTTCTGGGTTATTTGATCAATGGCATTAGGTAATGTAAGCACAAAAATACACAAATAGAAAACATGGTGTTTTATATCACCTAAAATGTATGACAAATCGAGTGAAGGGATGCTCATCGCAAGTCACGGGACAACGTGGTCAACAAAAACATTTAGATGCACAGCGGGCAAGAGATGAAAATGTTGACTGTGAGGGAAAGGAATTGACCATATGTGCGTTGAGCATCTTTCTTACCGTACGTAGCCACCGTGCTAATCGGAGGTGCGAATAAGCAGCAGAGGACAAATGAAAAGTGAAGACGGGATAAAGAAGGTAGGCTTTTAAAGTGGGAAATTAAGATGAAAGGAAAATGTGTTTGATGTGCAGGTGAAAGCAAAATAAGTGAATGCCATTTACTATATAACAATGTTATGGATACAGCAATATAATTAATATAAGCATCTGCTAAATGCCATAAATATGGCACTACAGGACCATTTGATTTACTAAAAATTTACATTTTATATGCACTATGAAGAAAAACTTTGCATGCATATCCAGCTCTTCAGCCTTGTGTGTGAGCAGCTAAGGGTTGGGATGGCAAAAGTATTGACAGGATTCGTCGGTCCTCTTCATACAAAACCCTGAGAGATAGAGAGAGCAGTGAGCCAGCCTGTGCAAACAAAACCATGACAAACATAACTCGTATAAACAATTGCAACAATTTATGTGAAAACAATAGGAGTCAGAAGGATGACTCTCGATATAATGCACCAAGACATTTGCATAACTGCGGTGTTATCTGGACACTAATTAAATGGACACAGACTAACCCGATCTCGAATTTACACCTACACACCATGAAATAAGCCTGTCCATTTTCCCCAACGTGCACACACAATTTGTCCAACAATAACACAATATCCAAAAGTTTTCATGGAAAAATACACTAAACCTCACTGTCAAATTAGAATGGCCAATTAAACAAGACTGAATCTCAAAGCACAGCAGTGAGGCTCTGAGAAGTCCCAGTGGTACTTCCACACTGCATGCCTTGGAAGTTTACTTCCAAACAACGTACCTGTTAACTGTGCTGGATTCGTCCATCATGGAGGTGGCGTTAATGTCCAGCTGATTCTGGATGGCCTTGGCCAAGGAGCCGATATCTCTACCTCGCCCTTTGGCTGAAGGGGAGGGAGGGAGGTAGGTGCAGGAGCAGTTGTGTCAACCCTTCGCCGCACACAATCCCATCAAACCAAGGCCCCTGCCTCGGTGTGCACTCAAGCGAGACAGCCGTGATCAATGGTGTTGAATCGAAGACAAGATGACAAATGCACACACACTCTTCTCCAACAAGGGAAGGAAGCCTTCCCCATGTGTACCCGTCTTTGCTCCATCATCCTCTAGCACTCTGGTCACGTATGCAAGGGAGCAAATGCTCATGCGCGTACTTGGAATTGTATTAGACAGTTCTGGCATGTGAAGGCAAGCAGATGACAGTCTTGTGCGTGACTTGGAGGTAGACCAAGGATACGCAACAGCAAAGTAATTAGGAGTATCGCAGCTGTCGGGCCACATGCAGTGCTGACACCTCTTGTCTCGCACACCTCGTGGGCCACTGTCAACTGCCTGCCTCTCATACTGGGCAATACAAATCCAATAAATATTCAGCAGGCGCTGAATATGTATAGCAGAATTTTTTTTAAATGCTTCTTTTTTAGGGCACTTTTAAATTATGGAGACAGAATAATAATATTCCTTTGCAGATAATTGTATTGTATATTTTTTATTATATTTACTTCAAGTATTAGAAATTACCATTTCAAAGCCATTCAGAAAAGGGAAAGTAAAAAAATGCACTGCCAATTGGCTCTCTCTCCACTGTCAAGCAGAAATTTAAAATGTAAACATGAAAGGCAAATTAGTTGAAAGCTTACAAGGGTGGTCCCCCAAAGCAGGTCAGAAATCAGGCTGGCAAGAGACAGGTCACTGCCAACCCTTCCCATAGACACTTGTTGGCACCCAACCAGTTGGTACACTCATTACACTGTTGGACATAGGCCATTTGAGAGGTATGCACACACACATGGCACAGATGATAATGGGGGTGTGACAACTTGTCGACAGTTTAGTTAACCACATCACCTTCCACCCCAACATCGCCACCACCACCAACACCATGTCCCAATTTCCACATCACCTCATCAACGAGGCAGTGCTGGTTTAAGGGGTCTGGTCCCACCAGACTTGCTCTTCTCCGAGCTCACGGATTGTGTTGAACTTAATCAACGGACTTGTTATACACACCTGTGCCCATTCACATGGCAGACGGAGGAGTGCAAGGCTGCACCAATTACACATAGCTGCCCTTACCCTTGAAGATGGTGTGGATGATGTGTAACACAGACGTGATGTCCACGAGGCTTTGAAGCTCGTCCGAATGCACGAACTCCTCCAATTCAGACAGAAATGACCTGAATGTGCACAGTTGGGGTCGAAATGAGGGAAGTTTGATCGTTGGTAAATAAGAATATATGCACATTCAAAAATACACACAGACACAAAAACACACACAACATTTTTGCTAATTAAATGTGTCTCCCTAACGCATAGTAAGGACACCATCTACATTGGAATACAAGAATTTTAACGCCATAGAAAATGTGAGACAAGTCTGAAAAACACTGGAAAAGTGTAAATTTAAAAATGGAGTGAGGAATTGGTATTTACCGACATCTGTGAAGCCAAATATAGCATCCAATTTATGTTTGCTAGGCTCTTATTACAGGATTTTCTTACAACTGATTAAGCGAGGAATGACGAAGTGGAGTAGAGAGCAAATTAAGTAACAATGTTAGAAGCATTCAGATTGTATGGAATGAAGGAAAAGAACCCTTAAGGTAGAATAATTTAATGACCTTATGACATTGCCTGGTTTTGGCCAATAC